AGGAAGTTTCTCCTTAGTTCTAGGTTGCTTCTCTCCTTGATTAGTTTCCATCCGTTGCTTCTTGTCCTGCCTTCAGGTGCTTTGGAGAATAGCTTGACTCCCTCTTCTTTGGGGCAGCCCCTGAGATATTGGAACACTGCTATCATGTCCCCCCTCGTCCTTCTCTTCATTAAACTAGACATACCCAATTCCAGCAGCCATTCCTTATATGCTTTGGCCTCCAGTCCCCTAATCATCTTTGTTGCTCTTCTCTGCACTCTTTCTAAGAGTCTCAACATCTTTTTTACATCGTGGTGACCAAAACTGGATGCAGTATTCCAAGTGTGGCCTTACCAAGGCATTGTAAAGTGGTATTAATACTTCACGTGATCTTGATTCTATCCCTCTGTTTGCACAGTATTAAGAAATCAAGGAAAAGCAAACTTTAGGTTGAACTTGATCCCCAATGTCATGGACAAGCTGCTTATAGATGCATTTCCTTACATGTGGTAGATCAGAAAGCCAAATCACAGTTCTTAAACAGAGAAAGGTATTCTGCCCCTGGCCCAATGCCCTTTCTGCAGAGGTCTTAGAAGGGAGATACACAGCATCCCATTTTGTTCCAAGGCTTTGCTCATCTTGCAAAGGGGTTATGAAACAGTGAAATACGTTTTATTATATGGTTTATGCTGGCACACGTTCAGCCTTGATAACCCCATAAATTTCTCAATCACTCTGAATAGTTTTATTCACAGTATTACTTTCAGATGAATAGGACCTTATTACTCTAAGTGCAGTTCAATGTTGCTATGCCATATGCAAAATGTGCATTGAATTGCTAATCTCATGTGTGTCTTACACTACAATAAGGGAAAGAATAAAATAATTGGTACTATAACTTGGAAAAGTCTGTATCTGATTGTCAAAACAAGTTGGACAAATAATCATTGGATCATCAAAAAGCTGGATTTATAACATCATGTTAATATAATTTGTTGGTTTGGATGAAGCATGAAAACCCAGCTACTACAGGTAGCACTTGACTTATGACCAAAGTTGAGTTATCCATTTCTGTTGACATTTGTTAAGTGAGTTGTGTCCCATTTTATGACCTTTTTCCCCACAGTTGTTAAATGAATCACTGCAGCTATTAAGTGAATCATATGTTGTTAAATGAATCTGGCTTTCCCCGTTGACTTTGCTTGTTGGAAACCAGTTGGGAGAGTTACAAATGGTGATCATGTGACCCCAGGAAATTGCAGTTGCCAAGTGCCTGAATTTTGATCACGTGACCACGGGGATGCTGCAACAGTTAAGTGTGAAAACCAAACCTAAATCACATTTTTCATTGCCCTTTGTCACTTTGAACGGTCATTAAATGAATAGTTGTTAAGTGAAGGACTACTTGTAGTGATTTAGAACAATTAGTTAGAACAATTAACCAATGGAAGAACCTGCCTCCAGAAGCGGTGAATGCTCCAACAGTGGAGGTTTTTAAGAAGAGACTGGACAGCCATTTGTCCGAAATGGTATAGGGTTTCCTGCCTGAGTAGGGGGTTGGACTAGATGACCT